AGAACACCTCAAGCTTTCTATGGTACGCTTTTTCCATCACACCAAGATTTCCGTGGATCATTTCAACTCGGTCTTTCTGCTACCTCTGTTCTCCACAAGGAATGCCACCACCTCTGCCCCAACACCCCTGAGAGGGAGCCCTTGCTATCCTGAGCTCCCAGACTGCGGTGCCCCAAGAAGCTCTCTGCCACATTAACTCTGCTCCTGGAGCAGACGCTAAAAGTCCTGACATACTTAAAGAACTTAACAGCCTGATGTCGTGATAAACACCACGACATGAGCATAACACAAAGGCACTGAGCTGTGTTGCACCTTCACACCACTGCCATCAATTCCGAGTGACACACCTTGAACTCGTCCTTTCATTTCACAGCAGAAGGAAGAAAACTGTTTGTAGAGCTGCGGTCACGTCTAGCAATCCTTCTGTAGTCTGTAGAGCAAACAACCTGAGGGAGCCGGCTAGTGAGTCATTGTTTGCCTTTCCCCACATTTTAGCAAACTTCAAAGCAGAAAGTTTTAGTCACATCTGTTATGGAAGGAAACACCATCTTGGGCACACTGATGCTCACATTCACCTTGTTGAATCTCTGAAGTGACAAAGATCCCTGCCGTGCTCAGCGCATTTCTGCTCCTTTCCCAGGTAAAACAAAGGAGCTCCTGCCTCTGCCGGCTTTGGCTCTGCAGGTCAGAGCCAGTCACTTCATCTGGAGGTGACAGCTTCAGGATACCAGCTGCTTGTGGTGGTGAGCTGGGCTTTGAACTTATTTTCCTTCCCAACTCCTTTCCTCCCCCTCCTCCTCAGCCACTGCCCCCAGAGGCTGCTTGCACTTCTGGAATGTATTAAGTTCACCTCTCATTATTTCACCACTGACTCCTTTGATTCTCTCCTCTCTGCATACAGTTTACAGATTTTTTGTGTCAATTTTTTTTTTAAAGCATATGAGAATTATCTTTCATCATCCTAATTTAGCTAATTTGGGTGCTTGGGGGAATTAATGCCTGTTTTTAGTATGAAGGTAGTGAGATTCTCCCCACCCTGTTTTCTGAGGGTTGCCTGATCTGAAGAGAGGAGCCGGCCTTCAGCTCTGCCTCTACAAGGCACTTGCTTGGGAAATAGGAGGTGGTGGATCTATAGGGAGGGATTTTAAGAGGAATAAACTGAATGACCAGGAAACTGAGTTAAAAGATTGCAGATACAGAGTAATGTAAAATTCAGACAAAAAGTTTAACCAAGGCTTAACTTTAAACACAAGTATAAATTCCACAGACTTCAGTGAAACTATTAATGAGTTTATAATTATCCTCATGGAAAAATCAGTTCCCAAACTAAGGCATAAGATGCTTTTTTTTTTTTTGTTTTTTTACAAGGTACAAATCTGAGGATTTCAGAAGGAGCTTGAGGCCCAAACCAGCTGACTCCCACTGATTAACATTAATGCAATTAAAATGGAAATCCTCCTTCTGCATAAGATTCATTTGCATATGGCTTGTTAGCGATGCTATCATCCTCTGCACTCTGCCCTGGAGAGATCTTACATTACGGGTGAAAAGATGTGCCATGTCCCTGAGCTCTGACACTGCTGGGAAAAAATGCAACCAAACCCTTTGGGATCATATGCACGCTGACTGATCTCAACTCATCATTCAACATTAGGAACTTCAGTTTAATCACTTTCCTTGCCAAAAAGACAAACAGCTTCAGGCCAGATTCATTTATCCCGGGCTGAGGTTGGACATCATGTTGAGTATGAGCCAGCAACTGACCTCCCCACGGGCACAGCAAACCACCTCACAGGTTACGTTGGGAGGTGCATGGCCAGCAGAGAGGTAGAATTTGTTATCCCCCAGACTCAGTGCTGGTATGGACACACCTGGAATACCTCACCTAGTTTTGGGTCCCTCGAGTTCAAGAACATGGAGCAGGGACAGCAGAAGGCTACGAAGATGGTTGGATTGAGATAACATGACCTGTGAGAAGAGGCTGAAGGAGCTGGCCTTCTTTAGTCTGTTGAAGAGGAGGTTAAGGCAACATCTAACTGCAGCAGGGGTAGTTTGAAAGATGTAGTTACAAAGATTATGAATTAAAACTCTTTTCAGTTCTATCAGAAGATTTTAAACCTTGTGACAGCCCCAAATTTAAGCTTCTGAGGTTCAGACAAGATGCCAAGAAAAATCTTCCTTAACTGTAGAAAAGCTGCAGTACTGGAAACATCCTAAAGCATGTGCAAAATCTGTCCCTAAAGGTTTTCAAGACTGAGCTTTAAAAGCCACATCTGACCAGGTAAAGTGTTGGTAATAGTCCCACCCTGAGCAGGAGGTTGGATCAAAGACCTTCAGAGGTCCTTTCCAACCAGCATGTCGAAACTGTGATTAATCTCCAGCTGAGTTTAGATTGATCCATTTACACAGTTTGTCCATCCTTTTCCCACAGACGTTGTCGTCTTCTATCGGATCTGCTGCTTCAAAAAATCAAAGATACTGCTGCTGATTGTACTCCCAGCTCTTCCTTTCACTCCTAGCAAAGCACTGCTGAGTTGGTAACGGTCTGCTGCCCGTCATACCGAGAGGAGTAAATATGACAAACGCCCAACACCGTGACGTGTATCTGACACATTCTGCCTCTTGGCGAAGACATTCCTAAGCACAAGAAATCTAAAACTGTAGAATTCTTTCCAAAATTTGGAAACTAATGGCAGTTCAATGCATCAGAGATACCTTAACTTCAATAATTGGGCACATATTTCCTGGGGACATGAGCCCTTCCATTTGCCTCTCCCTCTTGCTCTGACAGTGCTATAGGGAGTACAAATTATATCAGCACCAGGGCAGGAGAAAGAGCCTAAAGGTGAGCTAAGTTCATCTCCATGGCTGGCCCAGGCTGGGCAGCGTCACTGCCTGCAGACCACAGCGAGAACCCAGGCTGCGTTCTCTTCCCCCAGCCCCCTGGTGCTGCGCAGCAAGAGGCAACCCCACTGAGGCCATGCCTGAACTGTGTGGCCACCTGGGCATTCACCGGGGCTGTGATGTAGTGATGCATCGCAGGGAAATAACCTAACATCACGTAACATAAAGGAGAAGCCGCCTATAACTGCATCAGAAATGCTCCCCCACTAAAAGCAAAAATGAAAAGCCTTGCTGAGCAAACTTTGTCATGTATTTGGGAAGTCTCCCAATTTACAAAGTGCAATTAGAAATGCAGTTAAGCACGTCAGTGCAATTTTTGGCCTCTCACTAGAAGCACAAGTGTTACTGGTGACATATTTATCTGTCACACTATGTGCTGTAGCAGCATATGCCCATAAACATTCCTTTTTACAGTTCTCAGCTGCCGTGTAATTGCTTCTCTTTTGTTCATAGTATGGGAGTAAAACTGTTAATTAGTAAAGCTAGCCACAAGCAAGGAACACGTATCCTTCTGTCTTTATATCAGTTGCTTGCAAAGTCCCAAGTCTGTTGAAACTGATTTTAAGTCAAAACTGCTAATTCTTGAAGCATTAACCTAGGTTATTTATTCACGTGAACTAAGAGCCTCATCTCCACACATGACACAGCAATGCTAAAGGATACAAACAAATATCCTTGAAGGCAAACTGCCAGTACAGGCAACAATATTGATATAAGTATATGTAAGAGAAATTAGAGGCAAGGAACCTTTCTAACATAAACTTTAATCTGCTTCAGTGACACCGTCTTTGGCACCAGGAAAGTTATTTTTTTTTAAATCCTTATTATTTTCTTGACCTTCATCTTCAGTTCAACCATTTTTCTCTGTAGTAAGTTCCTGAAATTGTGATTTTATCCCATTAAATCTTTGTTTTTTTCCTTGTCAAAAAAAACCGTGCTGTGTAATGCATAGATTCACTTGGCAATGTTCAACGACAACTTCTAGAAAGAAGAATTTTTAATAATAATCTACAGGATAGGGGTTCCAGAACCTCTTAAAATGCATATACTGATGTTATATCTGTTAATTGGAAGAAAAATTTCTGCCAAAACCTACAGTTAGCAGCACTGCAGTATACAATGAGGAAATGGAGTGGGAGTGTATATATATATATTTTATTTATTTATTTATTTATTTATTTAATTTATGGAGATTCTTTACTGTGAGGCTAAACAGGTGGTAGAGCAGCTCACAGCTCTTTTGGGACTGATTGCCACTTTGATGATACTCATATCAGTTTCCAACAAGCTCATATACAATGTTCTAGAATTAAAACACCCAATTTCTGCAGGGGATCACATACTTCAGACAGTAAAAATACTCCTTTTCATTAAAAAGCAAACAACAAAGCAAAAATATCTCACAGCAGAGTGGCTTGCTTCCTACAAATCCTGGTCACCTAACAAAGTGGTGAAGGGCTGTGATGTGAAGGTTGGCTACCAATACACTTCCTGCAGAGCTTAGCTGAGGAGTGTTGCTTCCAGTCACACCAAGATTCAATCTTTCAAAACCATCCAGTGGTTTCCCAGTGTAATGAAATGTCAGTTGAGAAATCTTGACACAACAGGACAAGAGGCTGGCACGTCCCAGAGACAAATCTACCCTTAATACTAACACATACTAGCAAGAACTACTGCTTTTTTATCTTTTCCTTCATGTGTATTTACCATTAATGCTTTCTCCAGCTGAAATTTTAAGCTTCTAGGAAGGTACGTCATCTTTCAATGCATATACACTACACAACATTTAACAAGGCAATTTTTTGTTCCCTTAAACTGAAGTACATTGTCCAAGAACATCCCTAGAACACAAATGCAGTTCTGAGCTCAACTTTTTCCTTTTTATTTTTTGTAAACTCTATAACTTTTTTTTTTTTTGGTCACTGTATTTTTTGTAATGTCTGGCAAACACATTGAAAAATATGCTGCTGCTTAGAAATATATAATCAATTTATTTGTTTTATCAGTGTTTGACAAAGTGTGTATCAAGCACTATCTGGATGGCTTCCCTTGACACAATGGCATGCTTGCCTTACACTGGGTAAATATGTACTCACATTCCATAAAATAAGGGCCAGGTTCAATTCGCCACACAATTTGTCCTTTCTGTGTGCCAGTCACTCCACGATTTTTGGAATCCCAGAAATTGGCTGGAGAGTTCTCATCTGTAAGAGGAAAGAAAAAAAAATTGTCACATAGTATTTAACATTTATAGTAGCAGGGTTGCTTTTTTTTGTTTGTTTGTTTGTTCAAGAGGCCCAGACACAAAACATAAATTCTGTTAAAATAAATAACTAAATATAAAAGCAAACTGGCAAAAGGTAAACGGCTTCTCTTTTACAGTTGATAGATCAATTTATGCAGAGTGAGCAGACATACATACAACCAAAGTAAATATATGGTTTCCTGTAAGAGATGGCCTGCCAAGGTAAAGCATTAAATCCAAAACTTCCCTGCCTCAATAGACAGGCTATTGGGAATGTATAGCTGCCTGTAACGTCATCACAGCGTTGCCACAACATATTATACAGTGGTCTCGCTCTGTGCTGTGGAAATCTAGCATTCGCTCCTTAGCTATGATGTATGGAATTGGTGTTCGAGGTATTAGGACTTGATTTATTTTTAGAGGATTCCTGCAGTTTAGAAACTGGTGAGAATATCTTCATACATACACCAAAAAATCTGACACATTCGATTTCCTGGCATGTACCGTATTACCACCTATCAGTAAACGAGAGTTAGAGGTCCAAAGGATTGTCGCTTAGTAAGCCAGAAATACAAATGAGCAATTCAGTGATTCAAAAGAGGAGAACTGAGAAGTAAACATGAAGTCTCTGAAGATCAGCTTAGCACTATCAGTATTTTTCCCTCCCTAAGAAACATTTTGTTCTAACAGGAACAAAACCAGGTCTTGGGGTTTGTTTCCTACTTACCAGCCTGGGTTCAGACACCCAGCATCATATTTGAGTGAAACAAAAACAGAGGGAGAAGCTGTTTGAAGGGGCACAAAGACAGTTATCATGACCCAGAGGAAGCTGACATAAATCCAGCTTCTTTTGTACAGAAAGTTCTTTGGAAGTATGCATCGTGAAATGTTACAAGTGCATTTACGCAGCTGTTAGACAAACATACCTGCTGCCTCCAATATAAAGTCCTAATTCCTTCCAGTAGTACTTGAAAACTTCACTCTCAAAATAAATAAATAAATAATTTCCTTTTTTTATTACACACCTCTGAGTGCATTCTGCAACACTAGATAAAGAGGAACTCAAAAAGCACAGCCTGTAAAAGGCAGTCCATGCGCCTCAAAAATCTCTGTAGTTTGCAATGACACTAACTGAAACAATACTGTGGATTTTTGTTTATTTATTTGCTTATTCAGCGTACTTTCCCTATCTAGGGTCCCACTTCTTTCAGGGAGATATCTCATGGATTCCCAGAGCGCTAGTTTAACTTCTAGCATATCTACAGGACTGCCTACTCCATGACACAATCTTGGTTATCCAAACCACTGCTACCAAAAGCATGCAGATTTTTGAGAAATTCAATGGATATTTGAAACACAAATACTTTTAAACTATTCACTGTTCTAATTATGTCTAGGTAAATAAAGAGATAAATGGAGGAAGAAAGTTCCTTTTACATGCTCTGGTTCTTCTCAATAGCTGTATTTAACCAACTGGAGAAAAATCTGTTCATAATTCTAAGCAGAAGGAGAGATAATCAGTATACTATGACCATAAACATGAATTGTTGGAGTATTTTCTTTTTCAGCAAATCAAGGAAGTTTGAAGGAATGAAATTAGCCCTTAACAGTGAGATTTCCAACACTTCAGGTACAAGCAATTGTTCTTTGTTTTTTAAATCCGTAACTAAACAAAGCCGACAGAAATCTTTACCAGGACATCGGTGAGGTTAGGAAAGGTCCCGCATGAACAACATGCAAGGTAAGCATGAAATCCTGAGCTGACAGTTACAAAAAAAAAAAAAAATGCACATTTTCTAACACCTTAATTAATAAAATTCAACAACAAATAAGATTTTCAGCCATTTCACCCTGGAATAGCCCATTTTGCAGTAACAAAGACCGAAGAAGAATCCCTGATACTCTGCCCATAGGCACATTGCCATTGCAACAGAAGGTGGTGGAGACGGATGGATGGAAAATGCTGACAGGCCACTGCCTGACAGCAATCCACTCAAATTACAGAATTTATTTTGGGCAGATATCATTTTCTCCTGAAACAGCTGATTTCTTCTACTTGTGTGAAGTTTTTTACATAGGGGATAAAACAACATTACTGATGTATATGGAAAATACAAACCCTAGTTCATGGATTTAGAAAAAGAAAGGAACCAAAGAGCAAAAGAAATCAAATAGCATGAAAATACTGAAGTATACATAATACTGCAGAAATTCACCTATCAAAATTGTAACCAAAAAGTTTAACTGTGATAGTCTCAGCGATATTCAGCTGGGTAAAACAAAGAAGCGCTTGACAGCATGAAAAGCATCACGTCAGAAGTCAAAATTACCACTACCTCATCTCTCCTCTTCTCCAAAACCTTTACATAGTACCCCTAGGGAACTTCAACCGTAAGAAGCTTTGCTCCCCTTTTAGCTGGTAATTGTTGCTGTTTGTGAAACTGGCTGCTGTTCTAGAATCTGGGCCAAAGAAAAGATATAAATATCCATTCCCAGAACATAAAATATGCAACCAAATATCATCCTTCTGCACTGGTATCTCGTCAAGTCAGTCTACACTGCTGAAACAAACAGAACAGTGGAAGATCCACAGCATAATCTTATCTTCTAAAAGCATGAAATATTACAGAAAGTAACTTGATTCTCGCTGTGCTGCAAGCCCCACACATATCAGGGCATGTGAGAACGTATGTCGCTCTGCAATAAGAGGCAGGTTGTAATAAATATCCCTGTACAGACTCTACACTGCCCAGTGCTCTTTGAAATCGCTGTGAAGCAAACCTGTTCAGAGTAATGTTTTCTCTTTCAGGCTTTGCCATCATTACAAAACCCTTCAAGGTGAATCAGGCACATGCAACGTCTCCAGCTTGTGCCCTCCGTGTCAGCAGTTTGTCTGTCCCCGTGTCCCCAGCCCTACCATGGCTGTGCAGGGGAGGCAGCTCCCCCTGCCAGCTGTCAGCCCGGCACAGCTATCTCATGTGCAAGGCAATACGCAAGTACTGAGTAAACGTATGGGCAGCTGCATGAAAGATGGCAGCATCATTTTTACCAACGAGTTTGCACAATAAAACAGCACTTGTACAAGAGTAAGAGCCACCAGAAGCTCCAGTGCATCCATGCATCCTCTGTACTGCAGCCCAGTGCACTGGGATGCGGTCTTACCAGTGCAGAGCGGAGGGAAGGACCAGCTCACAACTGATCACAACACATCAAAGGCAGCAGTTCAGCCAGGTTTCAACCCACCAAAAAAAAAACAAAACAGATACAGTCTTAGACAACAAAACAAGTTAAAAGCAAGAACTGCTACTGGTTGTTACCGAAGGCAGCCTGATATTCCCAGTGCACAGACTGCTCACGTGCAAACCAATGCTCATCTTCTGCTCCCACCTTCTGTGGTCTCTAGTGTTAGGCTGTGTGAGAACAGGCTCATCTCCAGGAACACAAAGGATTTTTACTCTTAAAAATCAAAAGCAGTTAAAGAAGTTACAAACTCCTAATAATAAATATCGTGGATTTATTGCATAGGAAAAAAATGCTGAAGTTCCCTACTGCAATCAAATAACTTATTTATAGATGCTTGAACACAGAGCTCAGAGAGAAGGTGCTGCTAAAGAGATTCAGAATGTCACTGAATGGATTTAATTACATACAATTTTATAATTTTCATCTTTCGCTGCCGTATATGGATTTTTCTAATTCACAGCTCTTGAAAATCCATGCAGCTGAGCTCAGAAAAGATCAATCATGTTGGTAACAGCATTGTATCCCCACATAATTCTGTTATCCTGGGATTTACCTCCTAATCTCTGTTTTTTCATCCCTTCCTGGAAGAAGTTCTATGCAAAATCTTTTTAAGAGCTTGTATTGTTTATTCTTAATTTTAAAACTTAAATTAAGTTCAGATTGTCAGAACGCTGACCCCGTAGCATTTTGGGTTAACTTTAATAAATTCCTGGGCACTGAAGATGATGCGTTACCAAGGGGTGTGTGTATTCCCAGCCCAGGGACACTCACAAAGCATTGTTCTAAACATTATTTCTTTCATCAGGTGTTCTCTTACAGTGTACATCAGAGGAGCTGGAAGGCTGGTAGATGGCAAGGCTAAGTATAGGTTTGCCTCAAGCTGAGATTCTCTGATTTGATACCAGTTTCTCTCATAAGCATACTGTTTAGTATCATCCTCTGTCCATTTTATGTTATCGTTTATCTTAGTCTTTAAGACTTACAGGGTTGTAAGTTAACAGCTGCATTGGAAGATAATCCTGAACTTAATTTTGAGTCAAGCATCAGGACGTTTTTAGGATGGCATTTGCAGTGTAGAACAGAAGTCTGCTGTACAGGCATTCTACTGCATGGCTTCCAAAATCCCAGCCCTGCTGCCAGTAAGTGCCCCCCGCTTGATGTTGTGAGGAAAGGGTTCCAAGCAATAAAAGAGACCGGCACCAAAAATGTAAAATTAGCAAGAACATGACTGAGAGTACCAACTGTGCATTTTGAGCAACTGATGACACAAGTTTCTAACACTAAATTTTGTGCAGGTATTTTGTCTTTGTACCCTCATTTTAATCCTACAAATACAAAAAATTAGCAATAATAACCTGCGGGTAATCATTGCAGAAGTAGCACAGTGTTCAATGAAAAAAAATGAAATAGTTTAATTTCCTCCTTTTCTCCAAAATATGCTTAAAAGCAATACAAAACTGCGTCAGGACACATTTAATGGAGAAGACAACTTTCATTCCCTGAGGCCTCGTTCCTCTTCTGGAAAGCCGGTAAGCAAATTAGCACTTGCAGGCAGAGTGTTCATTGAAAACAAGTATTAGAATAAATCGCATTATAGCAACCCATTTAAAATACACCACGTATCACCTACTGCTCTGCAACCAACTGTTAACTCACTGTATGCAGCATACAGCCTGGGATATTCACATAATTCCCAATATCAGTCTAGAAACAGTT